GAGCCCAGCTCCTGGAGACCCTATTCCTGGTTGCTTTGTTGATCCCATCTTCCGTCTGACAAGTCCCGCGCTGTGACATCAGTTTGCTTTTGTGTGTCCGTGCCACCCGGCAATAAAAGGATTGTTGAGGCTGATAACAGTCACAGTAATAATAATATTTCTAATACCAAACTCAGCACTATCACATAACAAATGATGTTTATTTCATTACAAGGGAGTTGCAAAGCAGTGTGTTTCTGAATACAGTTTTACAGTACTCGGAGAATTAATGTGTCGGGGCAGCAGGCTTTATCCTGCAGACAAATTAATTTGTAATCCTCTGAAGTATTCGACCATGTGACTTCCAGAGATAAAAGAGCCTCCTTTAAAGTATATTTCCACAACCCACACTGAATGTGGTATCTCACTAGATTAACTTTTAATTATTGCAATTTCTCTCATGAAAGAGACTGTAAGATATCACACCAGCTCGCTACACATTCATTCTGTGGGCAGAGGACATTTTATGTTAATTCACTTATTTATTTAATACAGGAATTCCAGCAGCAAATGACAGTAAGTAGAAAAATAAAGCAAAACTCAAATTTTCTCGCCTCAGAAAATCTGACAGCAGCTTCTTTAATACTGCCCTCTTCCCAACATTTTAATTATTCACTTCTTTTCAATAAGAAAATTCTTTAATGTTGTTCAGACCACATGTTAGCCTAGTTATTATGGCATTTCTTTGGATATTGGCATTATGCGTTGTTGTTAGATACTGAAGTGTTTGCTTGAAGCTTCACTAGCGCACAATATGAATTAGTATCTCTTCCAGTATAAATGGGCACAAAAATCAAGAGGAGAGAGGGGCAGGAAGCACAAATAAATGAAATAACTTGTATTTGATGGATTTCTACGAGCTGTTGCACTGCATTGACTTGTTAAGCACCCATGGATGATATTAGCAGAAACCTGTCTAGTTACACAGCGCTAAAATGTTTTTGTCTCTGTGTGATTTGCATGTGTCCAAAGCATTTTGAAAGAACACGAATGCAAAGTACACCATTAGCAGAGATCGTTAGTAGAGCTGCATATACAGAGGAACTTCTAAAAACTATTTTTGTAGATGAGACCTCTCAAATTCTTATCTACAATATATACTTGTAAAACAAAAGAACCTCTTTTGCTCCTATTTGATGATGATGCATCAACATTTGCTAAGGATGTCCATTAGGAAAGGTCAGAAAAAGGACAAGAAGTGATAAAATTAAACTATTTATTGCAAATGTGAAATACTATTTTACATGCTTTGCAAATCCATCCTTTTCTCGTAACCTTTTAGGAACATAGTGTATACAAACAGAATTTCTGCATGCTATCTGCAATATGACACCTGTTAAAAATAATTGCACATGATAGCAAAGGTGTGAATATCTTAACAAAGTATTACTTACTTATCATGTCTTGAAGAGATCTTCATTTGGCTTAATAGTCCGTAATAAGACTCCATATAAATTTTAAATGGTCTCCAAGATCTGCAAAATCATTTCTTAAATACGAAGGTGAAAAAATTAGTGGTTTATAGTATAAAGAGCACTGGAATTCTAGCAACGTTTTGCAGGTCCTTGCTCATTATTCTGAGATTTTAAGAATTTGCTATAAAACTTCGTTTGCTGCAGTGGACTCAGTTATATTTAAAAATCTAATAAGTGGTCATAATTATCCATACATCTTGTGGTAGAAACAGTCACATAGCAGAGGGGAGGCAATACAAAGACAAATCCTTGCAGAAATTTTCCTTTTTCTTTTCCTTCAAAAATATATATTTATTTGTTTCCTCTGTTATGTTGTACACATCAGCTGCCTATTAGCCAGTTAATCAGTTGGCACCTTTTTTGAACGCGCTTCTTCACTAAATAGTGTATTAAAGTGCTAGGAGAACACTCAGATTGCCCAAGCGGCTCTTTGTAGCATAGATTTGCTTATTCAACAAATTTGGCAGAAAGAGAGGGTTATGAGAAAGTACGAGAGAGGAGTTCCAGTTCTTAAAAACAGGTCGCAGACTGCGAGTCTCTCTGTTCTTCAGAGTCTGTTCCCAAGCTCAGTGTTTGATGGAGTAGTCTTTACCGTACCAGCTTGGAAGAAATCATCGGAATTATTTAAAAAATTCTTTCTATTGAATCTCTGGGACCTAGTCCAGGCTCGTTCCCTGATAACTCCAGGCAGATAATGCTCCAGAAAACCCATGTTCCCTTTCCTGTCAAATTGCCCAAGGCTGCCTTGCCCGGCTAATGCCTGCTGGCCCAACACAGCGTATCTATCCCAACCTTGTTGAAAGCTCATCAGCGATGAGCAGCGTGCAGCAACGGAGATTTATTGCTAGGCAAGTTGGAGGGAGGCTGCATGAAAGAACCATGCTCTGGAGCGTGGTTTGCCGTAAGGAAGCAACCCGATCCAACCTTGACTGGCATGTGGTGGCCAACAACGGGGGGGGGCCAGCAAAACCACAACCATGGACTTCTGGAGAGGACGTGGGACAGTTGTGCCCACTGTCTCTCCATCCCCGGTGCTGTAACACCCCTGTGAGACTGCAGCCCAATGGTGGAGGGGCAGAGGAACAGATGCCACAAGCCTCCCTTTGCCCCGATGCCTCCCTACAGCTCTGCTTAGCTGTGTGCTCGCTGCAGTGATATCCTGTGCATGGCTTCCTTGCCATCAGCCCTCTCAAAGCTCCAGCAGGCATTTCTTATACAGCAGGACTGTCACGGCTGTGTCAACATCACCCAGAAGCAAAGGAGTGTGACTGTCATTAACCAATATTTTCTCAGTCCTTATCCTTAGCTGACACTTTTGTCAGAGACTGGGAAAAGCATTTGCTGCTGTTTTCTTCCTCCCGAGTCCTCATCTTTATCCTCTGCCTCTAAAGCAGAAGGCAGCTTCTAATGTCTTGAAAAAAAGGATGTTTGCAGAGCTCTGTAGCTAGTCCTTACTGAACCACAGACATTATTGTGATGGCTTTCACAGCCCTTCTGTAATAAATGAGCTTTTGGAGCCCACCACCAATGCGTTGTTCTGGATTCAAAATATCAATATAAAGCTAAACTGAAGAGCTGAATCAAAAGGTAAGACTGCCTTAAAAATTACAGTAAAAGTCTCCCATTCGCTTATGCTAACACAGGTATTGGCATCAGCTAGAAAAGGTAGAAAGTTCATTAACTGGGGACGTTGCAGTAGCAGTTACAAGCTGTCACTCTCACTCCCCCTTCCTCCCACATTCAGGTGAACCCAAGCAACCTATGGGTCTGGACAGCTTAAAATGGGGGGACCATTAGCTGGGAAAGGATGTGCCCAGCCAAGTCAGAGGGTGCAGTATAGCCATGCAGCAGCCTCTGTTAGCAAGGGCTGTACACCAATCAAGTCTGCTTCTCTTGGGGAGGGGGGAAATGGAGGAGAGATGAAAACATTGCCTGTCTTTGGGAAAAATCCAGTAAGTACTTAGGGGCACCTTAATGATAAAAAGAGGAGTATTTCCTACAGAACTGGTCACGATTGAGCTACATGGCTGGAAACCTGTGTTTATTTCTGCCTCTGAACACACAGGAGCTCTAAATCTCATGTCTTCTGCAAAACAGCTCAGAGCCAGTGGAGCAATCTCAGCCGCTTCAATCTGCAGGAAGACCAAAGAGCCTCCAGGAAAACCACCTGATACCCACTGTCTGACACACAGAGGTGCTATTATTTGCTGCTTAGCGAGACCAGTGAATGATTATACTCAGCAAAGAAAAATGTTTTAGGTCTAAGTAATTATTTTACAAGTGACCTTAAAATATCCCTGTTGTTAGGAGTTTTCCTTGCAGAGGGCAGTGACTGTAATAGGATCAGGCAGTATGTTTCTTCATGCCAAGTCACTGAATGCTAAAATGATTTGTCATCTTTCGCCACAGGCCACTGCCTGAGACACACATGACACAGTCTAACGTCTCGCCTGCTTTGACATCAAAGTGTCTCCCTTCTGCCATTGCCAGCGAGAAGAAAGACAAACAGTAGCAGCAACTGATTTTCTTTCCAAGAGAGTTTTAATTAAATAAGTGGTCTCAAATAGCTTAATGGGACTAAGGCAGGGGGGAAAAAACCTTTCATCATAAAATGTATTAAATCTATAAATCTTGCTTACCCTCTCCCCCTGCAATTTTTTTTATTTACTTCACAGTCGCATTATTTCATTCTCTGTAGAGATTTATGGCAACATTTTATGACATCTCCTGAGCTTTCACAGTCTATCACCTTTTACAGCTCCCTCTTAATGCCGTGGGTCATAAAAGACAGAGTTAATCTCATTTGACAAAGAGGAAGGGGGGAAGAAGTCCGGTCACAGAAAGGCTTTCACATGCTGAAATGTACTATCATGAATAGGTTCATTGAGTCTGATGGGGCTTCTGGTAACTGCAACTCCCCCTATTTGGAGGGACGAGTGATTTCTACAACGTATCCTAAAGTTCTGATTTCCCAATTTGAATCAGCAATGCAGCAAAGGCGTGCTCCAGGGTGGGATCGAGGTGCAGCTGAAGCACATACCCAAGTTTGGTGGGGTTGTCTCTGGTCTTCCTGTTCAGATGTAGTCAGTGCTATTCACTGATGTGTCTTCACAGGGCTGGCTCAGAGAGATCACTCTTTTCAAGAGAAGTCTCAGAGAAAAATGCTCCCTTCTTGTCTGTCCCATTTTGGGGATGGGAAATAAAATGTAGAAAGCTGGAGGTGCCAGCCAAACTGTCTCAAGATTCTTCATTCAAATGAAAGGGGTCCTTCTGATGGCAAGTGGTGTTATAATTATAGACTGGAAAAGAGCAAGATCAGCAGCTGCTGCTGCTGCTGCTTGCGTTTGTTCCCTCTGTAACTGACAAGGGGAAGTACTTGGCAAAAACAGACTTCCAGAAGTGGAAACACATTTTAACCCCTGTTCTTGTCAGTCCACTCTTCCTGGGGCTCGGCAGCAGCAACCCCTTGCTTCAGGTTAAGGGAAGAACAAGGTGACTATTGCAGACCTGAAGGGGACTTTGTTTGGGACGTCTGAGGAAGAGGAAGGGTCCGGGATTTGCCTTCGGGCCTGGATTGCCAAATCAAAATAGCAGGTCAGTGGATATAGCGTGAGCTTAATATGCTTTTGTAGTTGGCTTAACTCAAATCTCTCTCACTCAATTTCTCTACTATGCTATAAACCAAGAAAAAAGGTGATACAGTGACAAGGGGTAGGTCTGCGCAGAGGTGCTATTTATTTATACATTCTGTAATATGCTTTTCATGGTCAGTTGGGAAGCACTGATGGCTGTTATTTTTTACTGTGGTTTCTCTATGAATACTAATGCATTCTGAAATTCTCAGCCAGGCAAAAATCCCCTTTACAGTTGGGCTCAATATTGGGGGGGGAGGGGGAATAATCTTTTATTTTTAGGTGTGTATACCTAAAGGCTTCCGATGATCTTAGCAAAAGTGGAGTAATATATAACTCACATTTCAGCCTGTGCTTGAGAAAGTTTCAGAGAGGGAACAAATGCTGACCAAAAGGAAAAGCAGCATCATAGATATGAGTTTCTGCAGGCATAAAATGGGCATAACTCGTGTTATGTCCTCAAAACTCGCAAATCCATACCAGCAGAAAGCCTGGCCCTATATCTGCTAATGAAGTTAAGGGCAACACGATTAATAGGAAAGTCTTTCATGGCACCAGTGCCTGTGGTATCTAATATAACGCTCTCTGTCCTTCTGTGGTCCCAGCCAAAAGAGCACTTAGGCAGGAATGTGCTGGGGGCATTGTTATGCTTTGCTCTTCCTGTCCATCTCAGTTTTAGCTTTTTAATTTCCTGTGACCGTGAGTAATGTTGGAAGGACTCTCAGTCAACATGCTGCCCGTGAACCAAGGCCTTGGGACCAAGACAAGAACCAGACCCAGCACAAGGCTTTGTGCCAAAACTTCCCACTGGTGGGTGGGCTGTACCCAAGTGGTTGTAGTTGTTCCCAGAGAAAAAAACACAAATGCAGATTTAAATCTGTGTTTGCTAAGTTGTGAAATCTAATCAGGCAGCCACATAGCTGTCTTACCCACATATAGTCTAAAGGGGTCTTAGATCACCTAATCTGACCTAATGTGTATTTTAGGACATTACATTATATTAGCCTGAAGTCCCTATATGAACCCAACGATAAATGTTCAATAAAGCATTTGCTTAGCAGGAAACTGAAGTACAGTGCATCACAGGCAAGGCAGGGCAAGGAAACCGAGGCACCGAAGCCTGAAACTGCTGTAACAGTCCCACTTTTCTTTGCCCCATTCAGAGGCAGAAAGAAAAAGCTGCGGGCGTCCAGTGTCTCCCAAGCTAACGTGAAGAGTTTCTGTTCAGAGCCAAGGGAATCGAGTAAAGTGCTAAGAAAGCTGGCTGGAATCTGATTAAGTGAAATATAGTTGCTTGAATCAAGCAGGCAAATAGCACTTCATGGAGAAAACTTTCCTCTCCCAGTCTAATGGGGGGGAGGCATATTCTTAATCCTGAATCCTATTATCGCAACAGCTCTGCAATTGTGGCCAAAACCCATCCACTAGGCCTTGCAAGACAGGATTCGCTGCAGCTCTGTAGAGGAGGTGGACCCATTTTGTCCAGTTTCTGACAGCGTCCAGTCACTGATGCCTGGGAGGCATCAGGGACTCCTTCCTGAACCCCATATGCAGAAACTGAGAGCCATGGATTTGACACTAATCACTGCCTTCCTGCAGAGCTGCAGATGCTGTGAGGGTGCTGCAAGCAATCTTGTTCCCTCCATGGCCCACGACAGAAGGGACTGGACAGAAAGTTTCACAGATGCCCAGATACCAGGGGAGACCAGCAGAGCCGCTCAGCCCCAACCCTGTATGTCCCAGCTATGCGAATTCTTCGTGAAGGTCATCTTTTGTCCAACTGTCTGCTCTCATCTTAAAGATCCTAAACCACAGGGTGTCTATCCAGTCCCCTGTTCCGATATTTGGTTGCCCCCACAGTTAGCAATTTATGTTTTACTTCAGACTGCATTTGTTTAACTTCATCTTCTAATTGTTGCACTGTGTTACGCTGGGGGTCTGGGTTCTCCCCAGGCTATAAGCTCCCACATTATCAGATGTCTTTTCTAGATCTCAGTCCCTACATGCAGGCAGTCCCACTGGAGGTTTCCATTACAAACTGGATGTTAGTGGGGAGATAGAGGCACACTTCTTGACGATATGGCTTGAACACACATACTCCCCAGCATCAATGGGCAAGGACTAAATCCTCCTTCAGCGATCCCAGCAAACGCAGTGTATCATTAAGAGTATTTTTTTTACCCCATTCCTCCCCTATAGCCCAGCCACAGAATTCTCTCATTGTTTATAAAGCCCCATTTCTGCTGGAGCATGGAAATCTCTGCTTCCATTTTCTTAAGCGTTGCATCCTGACCACAGGCTTTTTAGCAGACAGGACTGCATTTCTGCATGCCAGTCAGCCAGTTTGGCTCCTGAATTGAACTTTTTGGCATTCAACAACGACAACAAAAAATTTAAAGGCCTGTGCCAAGTCTCAGAAACAGGAAAACTATCATTTGGATGCTAAAGAATAAAACCTATGCATCTTGAAAAAAACAATAACACACAAAAAAATCTCTGAGCCCACACTGGCAAACCTCGAGCAGCCATTCTGCAGATGAGAAGAGACAGTCTGTCAGCAATAGAAGACTTATGGTGTCTTTTCCCTGCTGATTCCCTTGGTGACTAAAAGAAAAAGTGGCACTTTTACAGCTGAATTTTAATGGCTTACTTTATGCTCTGCATCAGAGACACAGCCAAGGTGCATAAAATCCTATCAAGCCATCTATTAACTAGGGGTTCGGATTTTTTTTTCTGAGAGTAAATGACCTGCAGTGGCATCAAGGAAATATAGACAAGAATCATGTTTATGATATACAATAACTACCTTGAGGCTTTGTGCTTGTCTCAGTTACTCCCTTTCTTGAATGCTGTACATCCACATTTGGAGTTAGGGTTTTTTTTGTAAGCACATAAAAGTTCCTGTAGCATCTCCCTACACTGGGTAAGCAAGTAACAAACCCAGCATAAAATATTTACCTGTATACTTTTAGTACTGCTTTAATTACACTGTGTCGCACACTGCCTACCTGAGCAACCCTATGGCTTTTTTTGCATGGCCATGCAATGCTGAAGTATTGATGAGTATGTCTAGCTGCCAAGCTGAGAAATAACAGGGTTCCCCAGCTGATCTCAGCTGCTGTCGTAACTGTTAATGAAAGAGGCAGTCTCCAAATCTCATTTGGTTTTAGATGAGTATAATTACGAAAGCCAGCTAAAAATACTGGCTGGGGAGGAGGGTGCATTTGTGGAATTTAGCTTTACTTCTCTTGCTGGAGTGCTGACAAAGTTTTGAAAAAATTTCAAGCAAATTTTACTTCCTTCTCTTTGCTCACACCGGACTGGAGCAAACTGAGAGTAAGCAGAGGCTTCAGAGGTGTAGCGTGTCCCTGCCGCTGCCACCTAGGCAGGTGGCCACATTTGGTGCTAGCTGCTGCTTTTGGGTGGTCTTTGAGGTAAAGCCCAAATACAGCCTTGCATCAGTCAATCTGCAGGTCTCAGCGGGGCTTGTAACTGCAAGATTTTTATTTCTCTCTCTCTTTCTATGTATATAAATACACACAGCATGTATTTATGTATACATATACTACTATATGCATGTATGTGCGTGTATATCTATGTATCTATCTATACAAGGGTGCATTCAGGTTAGGGTACGCTGTCTAAAATGTTGTTGGTTTCCTGCTTCTCTTCTACTGTTTCTAGGCACAGCCTGCCAAGACGATGACAGTCACTTATTCCAGCAAAGTAGCAAATGCCACTTTCTTTGGATTTCACAGATTACTCCTAAAGTGGAAAGGCAGCATCTACAAATTGCTGTACAGAGAATTTATTGTTTTTGCTACTCTTTACACAGCGATAAGTGTATTATACAGGT